TCACCTCCTTTATGAGATCCGAGGTGAAGAAGGAGCCTGGATCGCTAAAGATTTCTGATAAAATGCCTTACATGGCAAACATTCCTAAAAGCGCTTCTGCCAGTTGTTTTGTCTCAATGTTCCTCAAGGGAACAGCGTCCAGGTACCTTGTGGATATGTAAACCATCGTTAAAATATATCGGTTGCCCGAACTTGCTGTTGGTTTATTTGGCCCAATGCTGTAAACTGCCACTCGCTTGAATGGTGTCTCGATTGTAGAAATGGTCACGAGAGGTGCTGTGTGCCTACTCTTCCTTTTGGCAGTGTTCGTCGGCAGATGTCGCACGAGCGAACATACGTCTTGACGTCGCTCTGAATCTCGGGCCATAATAACTATTATGTCACGAATGCAAGCGCATTTTTGTACATATTGATGTCCAGACATGATGCCATCGCGTGCCATTGCCAACACACTTGGCCTGTATCTCGTTGGGAGCACTAATTTCTCAATGTTTCTTCCAGTGGCAAACACGTACCTTCGATAAGCAAGTTGCTTCGAATCCCCATGTCATGTCTTAAGCGTCATCTGTGTTTCCTTATCACCCTTCCAACTTTATCGAAGCACCTATTAAGGGACGGGTCACTCCTCTGCCCCCCCCCCCCCCCCCCCCCCCGAAATCTCCTCTGCTGTCGTTTCGAGGATTCGAACATGCGGTACGTTCAAGGGTGCCTGTCCTCTATAACTACCATTCTTCGTCTGTCTAGGCCCGGCGACGCTGGCATGTAGCCTTGTAGAGTGACTACTGCGGTCGTGTCCTGATGACTCTGTTCAGTTCTTCTCGGTTTTCTTTTCTACCTTGTCCTCGCAGCTCATGTGTTCGGTCCGCTGTGGCATTTCATTGCTCCGCTGTTAGCCGCAATTCCAGGCCGGGTCCAGCTCGTGCGCCTCTCTTGCCTGGGGGGATGTTTCCAAGAACTAAATCTTACAGTGGGTTGTCAATACACTTTTGGTAACTTTTCCAGCGAAAAAAAGTGAAAGCCGTTTACAACTTCCTGTAACACGAATTAGAGCGCAGCTCTTGAGGAGGAGGAGGGAAGGATACTGGGGGGTGAAGTGACCTGGGGGGGGGGGGTCACGTGACCTTGGGGGATCACGTGACGATGCCAATGATGTCATCAGTGACGTCACTGATGACGTCATCAGTGACGATGACGATGCGGACTCCGATGACGTCATCAGCGATGATGATGATGACGATGCGAATGTCGGTGACGTCATCAGTGACGTCACTGATGACGTCATATGTGATGTTGACGATGACAATGCGGATGCCCCCTGAAGTCACGTGACACCCCCAGGTCACGTGACCACCCCCAGGGTCACGTGACCCCCGCCGAGGTCACGTGACCTCCCCGATGACGTCATCGTCACTGATGACGTCACCGGCATCCACATCGTCATCGTAATCATCACTGATGACGTCATCAGTGACGTCACTGATGACCTCACCGGCATCCGCATCGTCATCGTCATCATCACTGATGACGTCATCAGTGACGTCACTGATGACGTCACCGGCATCCGCATCGTCATCATCACTGATGACGTCATCAGTGACGTCACTGATGACCTCACCGGCATCCGCATCGTCATCGTCATCATCACTGATGACGTCATCAGTGACGTCACTGATGACGTCATCAGTGATGATGACGATGACGATGCGGATCCGATGACGTCATCAGTGGTGATGACGTCATCGGGGAGGTCACGTGACCTCGGCGGGGGTCACGTGACCTGGGGGTGTCACGTGACTTTGGGGGGCAGGTCACGTGACCTCGGGGGGTCACGTGACTTCAGGGGGTCACGTGACTTTGAGTATCACGTGACCTTGGGGGTCACGTGACCCTGGGGGAGGGGTGACGTGACCTTGGGGTGACCTTGGGGGTCACGTGACCTTGGGATGACCTTGGGGGGCCACATGACCTTGGGATGACCTTGGTTACGCCGACGCCGCTCAAGCCGGAAACGGGCCCCTACGAGCTGCGCTCTAAAAAGATTTATTTATTTATTTATTTATTTAGTTATTTAAGTACCCTCAAGGCCCTGGGGCATTACAGAGGGGAGTGACAAAGATCTCAGCCTCTGGTGGGTATTTGACGGTTCCGTCAAGCAAAAATACAATGTTCCATTTGCCAGTGTAGCACTCGACAGGGTCTAGGCTCTTTTTTCACAACCACGGTATTGCAACTGGCGTCCTGTAGCACTGTTATCTTCTGTTCCCCGACACGACTTTCGACTACAGGCATGTTCTCCACCAAGAACTCGGGTACTCGTTCAACGGCCGCATTTACAACTGTAATCATGCCTCCATTCTTCAGGGTAATGTAGGAATCGTCCGGTTCGCCTTGCCTTTCATCGGATGCTGTCCATTGGCAAGAAACTTGGGCTTATCACCGGACCATAGGTTGCATCTTTCCGCTTTATGTCCCGGTTTCCCACAGTGCCAACATGAAGGTGGTCTAGAGTGTCTGTTTCGGCTCTGGGAGTTCTCTGCCTTGTGCCCGAATCACTCGGAGAGTTATTCTATCATCATCCTTGAACGCGTTACCGGGCGCCTTCATGCTGGTGTTAGGCTCATGCTCGTCTCCTTTCACTTTTCCACAGCTGGGTTAAACTTGCGCCTCTCGAAATACGTCAGCCTTTCCTGCCAGATCGCCTAGCGTCGTGCAGTCTCTCTCTTTCGAGAAAACGGTAAACTGCTGGATGAGCATCGTCCCTTGTAGTTCCACGAAGCTATTCTCCACTTCTGCAACTTTCAGCCATCTTTCAAAATTACCGGCCAACCTCAGCGCCAACTGTCGTCATGTTTTCCTGCTCCCCGTTTTCGCATCACGAGATTTCACACGGTAACCTTCTTTGGTATATCGGAACCTCTGGAGCAGCGCCAGCCTCGCCTTGGTGTAACCTATTGCGTCCGCGGGAGTCATGCGACGAAGAACGATCAATGCTTCTCGTATCATACATAAACTTAGGGTCGTTGCCCACTTCTCTTGCGGCCATTCTAGACCTGTTGCCATGCGCTCAAATATTTGCAAATAAGCGTCGAGGTCGTCGCGTTTCTCCTTGTATTGCGAAATAACATTATGAGGGCTTGCCCGGTGACTTGGCCCAGCTGAATTACTTCGGTTGCCCTGGGGCCCTAAACTCGTCAAACACAAAGTTGAAGCCGAAAGTTCACAGAGCGCGCCGATTGGACGTTGGCGAAAAAAGCGCGAAGTCATCGTCATGATAGACCAATCGGTGTGCTCCGTCAACTTCGGCCGTACTTCGCGAGATTCTCTTTCCTCAGCCGCGATCCGTAACTCTAAAATCTCGCGTTTTTTGTCTAGCTTGATGGCTTCGGCCTGACATGCGCGTTCTCTCGCTTGTTGTTCTTCTTTTGCCGCCTCGCGCGCCTGTACTCGCTCTTCTACCAAATAATCCTTTTCTCGCTCGACCCAGTCTCTGAGCTCTTCCCCAACGCAACCTGGCTCTCTTCCGGCCGCCATCAGCTTTTCAGTTTTTACAATCACGGAACGAGACATGACAGTGCTCCCGCTCTCCCAAACAATCGTGATCGCTAATATCCTGGCAAGGCCGTAAAATCGACACGCCCGTTGGGGAAAGAGGAAGACAAAGACCATGTTAATTGCGGGAATGAGAAATACGTTATAGACGCTTTACAGCAGCTGTGCATGGGCGCCGCCATAACCGCCCTTCAGTTTTTGTTTTCGCTTATATTTTTCACTCTGCTCCATCATTACCGCAGGAGGACAGGTTACTGGCATTTTAGATACGACGGTGTCTTTTTCCCCAGCATTTGCCTTTGTAGAGGCTCGCCAAAGCCCGCTTCAGTAGTTTGATATCTCGGTAAGACAATAGAAGGGTGGCAATGGCGTCTGTAATCTGGCGCGTGTGTAAAGCGTCTATATTATTTAGAGAAGAGGAAGAATTGGTAAGAGAAAAATAAATAAAAGTTAACCGTCGCAAGAGAAAGAGAGAATTAGCAGAAGAGGAAGTACAATAAAGAAATCCCTGCACGCGTCTCAGCGCTAATTAATGTTCAGTCAGGTCATAGACACATGAGGTGAAGCTCGGCTCACGAGTCCTGCGCGGCGTGTCCTCGTGAAGGCGGTTGCCTTCGCCTCGATAGTTGGAGGTCGTTGCGTAGACCTCGCTAGGAGCTGTGCATTGTAGCCCCAGGTGTCGGAGTCCGGCGAAGGTTACCTCGACAAGACCGCTGAACTCAGCACTTTGCTGGCCGTAGCAGCTATCGAGCGGTCTGCAGGCCGACCGATGCGGTCCGTGCTAAGCTTCCAAAAATGCCCGCTCGGTCGCATGCTCCTCGCCTCGTCCTCTTTGTAATATTCTTCGTCTTCGATCGCGGCCGCGGCGCAATCACTGTCATGAGGATCACTGTCATGAGGACCAACACTGCTGCGCGATCTTCTACCGAAGATCGACATGGGTCGTCTGAAAGGGAAGCGTGCCGTCCGGCGAGAGCAAAACTCGCGAGTCATCGACGAGGCCATGACGGTTTCTGAAACTGCAAACTTGTCTACACTGATATTTCTCCTTGAACGATTAACTACAAGGAACATTGAGGTTGGCCAGATCAACACCGAGATCGAAGACCATGTCTCTGGTAAAGTCCTCGTCGCAGAATACACCGCTGTAGTTAAGTACGACGACGAGGCCATGGGTATCATCGCAGTGCTTGGTAGTAAGACATCGACGCTCCAGCAAGGACAAATGCAGCCATCGACGCCGCCGCCGACGAATCAGCCGGGAAGTTAGAACAGTGCAAGAGCTCGCGTGATGGGTGGAGTCAGGCTACCCAAGCTTCAGCTACGGAACTTCAACGGCGACATTGGTGCATGGCGGACTTTCTGCGAGCAGATCTCTAGTGCATTAATTGAAAACCAGAGCGTCTCCCAATGCCAGAAGTTTCACTACATGCGGGCTCTCGTCACCGGATATGCGGCTGCAGCGAACTCAGGCCTACAAACTAACGATGCCTGCGGCGATGACGCAATCGGGATACTTTGTGGTCGATTCGGTAATCGACGATGCATCGTACAAAATCCTCTTGCAGAACTGCAAACGTCATAAAACAACACCAAGAGCTTGTTAACGCTATGCAGTCGTAAGAACACAAAGTCTACGTCGGATGTGCGACCACATCTAATTAAACATCTGTGGACTGAAAGCTCCTGGCATCGGATTAGACATGTATTTCACAATAATGGCAGACATCATACTCAAAGCCCTACTGAAGGACTTGGTCCTGGAGTTATCGACGGGCTTCCTCTTCCTCTCCAGCAATGCGGACTGAAGTCGTCTTACCGAGACTTGGAACTGCAATGGATTCAAATAGTCACTGATCTATCTCCATCAGCACCACACATGCAGTCCCACCAGTTGAAGGTGAGCTTTCCAATATCCCGAGCCTCCTTCAAACCGAAGTGGAGTGCAGGGGAAGAGCGGGAGAGATTGAGACGCGTCCAGAATCCAGCCCACAAAATGATACAGATAAAACTCAATTATCCACACAACCCGCACATGCAATGCTGCATACCAATAGCGAATCAGGCTACTTCTTCTGTAGAACGACGGATCACGCAACTGCCACCTGCACTGGTGACCTACCATTTAAGAAGATGAAAGCAAGGTTATCCCGAGACATATAATGCTTTCGATCTACAAAGAACGGGCAGCGAGCAAGAGGTTGTCGTGAGAAGCTATCATGTTTCCATTTTTCAGGAAGACACTCCACGTCCGTCTGCGACCCAGACTGAAAGCCGCCAGCAAGCGTCACTGAACAAGAGAGCGGCAATACTAGCGTGCAAAACGCAAGCCCTGCAAGTCAAGACAGCCTTCCTGACGCCAAAGGTCCTCCTTCAAAGGTTTTTAGCCTGGGCTATTACTGAAAGTCAGAACTTCTACTCTCGCACTATCATCGACGGAGGCAGCTAGCGTGAGGATTTGTCCCGCAAGCTCGATCTTAAAGTGCTGGAATTGCTACGCTCAGCCTGAACACCTTCGGAAGTCTTACGGTACGACGCCAGCAAGTACGGCTTGTCCAAGTTAGGCTACAAAGTAATTTCAATCAGACGGAGTGCTTGATTAAGGCGGTGGAAGTCCTGTTCATCTGCAAGGAAATTGTACAAGTGTACCGATGACGAATTTATTTTCAGCGTCGAACAAAAAGAAATGATTGCCTACACGCCCATGTTCCCGGACGTGCAGTTTCCGCCAAGCATGAACCTCCTGATTGGGTCCGACATATTACGGACAATCACAAAAAAAAAAGAAAAAAAAAGAAAAACGAAGTGCGTTGCTGCAAGGGCTATAATAATCTGACAGCCATCTACACTAGCTTTGAGTGGACCTTCCAAGGTTCAACGCTACCGCGGATCTTCCTGACCGGATCACCACAATTGATGACATTCGTCCTACCTGTCGGTTTTTTAGAGGTAAAAAAGGTGGGATTGACCCGGCGGAGCATTCCCAATTTAAAAAACAGCAGACTAGCAAACCGGCCGAGCCACTCAAGCGAAAGAGAGAACTCATTGAAGTTAAACGGTAATCGAAAGAGGACAGTAGAACAACTCTAAAGAGTTAAGAATTAATCGCTATCAACTGACCCGTGCTAGAAGGGAATGAACAGAACACCCTACACAACCATATCACAGTCGAGCAGGTGACAAATGTTGTCGCGAGCTTAGAAAATACTAAGGTAACACTGACATTGCACACATAACAGTTATCAGGAATGATTCAGAGGAGGAAAAAGTGCGCACAGTCTTTTGAACGCACTCGAGCTCACCAGATCTTCGTGCAACGAATTGGATGGTCGCTAAAAAGTGAGAAAGGGAACCAAATCCACAGCAGCCAATTCTGACGAAAATAGACACGTAACAAAACTGTGAAAACATGGTGGTCCCCGACAAACCTACAGCTCAGCAGAAAGTTGATAACAACATGTAACACCTGGGTAAGGACGAAGATGAAGTGAACCGGACAAGTTCGAGAAGTATTACGCAGCAGAGGAGTAACTAGTGATCATATTTATTGCGCTGAGGAGTCGACGAGTGTTTGAAAGACCGTTGCACTGTTGTACCCCTAAACGCTGTGTTATGAGTGAGCGTGTAGTAGAGCGCTCATTTGAAGGGCAGTGTGCTGCAGAACCAAGTATAGGGTACGATTGAGAAAGGTAAACCCGGCTTTTTAACCCGCATGGATGAACTACGCTCCGCAGAAAGCTAAAGCTCCATGAAAAAGTGGCTCTATAGTGGTGGTGATAAAATGCGAAAATTCGAGCACATTACGTAACCTAGATTTTTAAAAAATGCAAAAGAAAAACAATCATCTATGAGGCGACGTCTACCTCAGCCTAAGTTTCCTTGAATTTGAACTTTGAAATTTAGGGTGCGTGTAGCAGTTATGTCGGCGAGAAACTTGTCAGCAAAAGAGAAAGCAATACATATTGTCTTTCGAACAGACAAGTTTATTTTTACCGAAATAAATACTACAGGCGCCCATAACTCAAATATGACAACGATGAAAATTACGCTTAGGTAAAGGTCTGCTCATAGGAATTTTTTTTATTTATTTATTGATTCAGGAAACGCAATGTGCTCAAATTTTTGCATTTTAACACCACCACTAGGGTAAATTTCTCACAGTTTCAGCTTTCTGTGAACCTTCGTTTATTTATGCGAACTAAACAGCCGGGTTTACCTTTCTTGATTGAAATCTGTAGATTTCACTGGCCGTTCAGAGAAAGAAGAAAATGGATCGAGAGCCAGGAGCTCGAGGACGCCTCATGGAACCTTCTCTTTCTGTATACAACATGTAAATATCTCACAGTTTGCATTAACTATGAATGTTTTGTTTAGGCAACCTGACCAATAAAGATTAATTACGCCAATCTGTAACACGCGCAAGAGTCTGTTTGGCACTAGACAGTTTTATGTATTTTTTGCAGTACCCTAGACTAGGTAGTAATTGTTAAGATGAGATGCAAATAACATAATGTACAAATGTAACTTGACGCTTGCTGCAAGAACGAGACGATGTTTATGTAGCAAAGCAATGATACCAGCAAGTTTATGGTCTATGTGCTCAGTCTAAGACATGCGATCAGTGGCGTAGCTAGGCCATCTAACACTCGGGGCCCTTATGTCTGTCGTAGACACCCCCCCCCCCCCCTTCACTCCCCGAGATCGCATCAAACCAGTAAAGCTAGGCGGGGGGTAAGTGGGGGGGGGGGGGGGGGGGTGCTGCCAGAGCTACCCCTCCCCCCTCCCCCCTCCACGTGAATGGAACGCTTGGCATCCGGGGCCCAGGGCCCCCCGGCCCCTCCGTGTGCTACACCATTGCATCTGATGTACAAAAAATACACCCAAGATTGTGGAAGAGCTTTTAAGCTCTTCCTTAAGTGGGGCAAAGGGGAAGATAATGTCGCTATAAATATTCACTAAAAAGCATGGTTTTTATTACTTATTCAAATACCATTTAATACAAACCAAGTTTCCATCCCGCTATTAATGTCATTTGTTTTTGGAATAAGGTCGTTACGATTTCCTGCCGATATTAAGATGCTGATATCATCAGCGTAAATAATAAATTTCGCACGCGGTGCAATGTTTATGATGTGATTTATGACATGTTCAAAGCATCAGTCCGAGTATATACCCTTAAGGTACTCTTGATTTTATGCGTTATTTATCAGAGACGTGACCACCTATATTAATATACTGACGCCGGGTCTCTAAATAGAACCCATGAGGAAAGCCACATGTCGTCTAATGCCAAAAAATTGAAGCTTTTGGAGAAGCAATTATTGGTTAATGAAGCCGAATGCCATGGTAAAACTTATAGATATATACCCGGTACTACGTTCTTGTTGTCTTTTTTTTTGTTGTTGTTTTTTCAATTGTGTAATATATATTCTTTTTGCTCAAGAAAACCTAGAGTTGTGTAGTTCGCTTCTTTCTGATCCCGAACTAAGACTCGGAAATTATAGTATACTTTTCAATACGCACGTTTAGACGATTGCGAAAACGATTATAATCCATAGAGAAGGAAGGGGAACAAGGGGGACTGAGGACAAGCACACATCTCCAAACACAGCTAGGTGACTGGTGCGCGACTGAAAAAATCTGCCTGGACCTGGTGTCGAACCAGGGACCTCTTCATTCGCAGTGGAGCACCCTACCGACTGAGCTAACGAGGAGTTATACATCAGTATAGCAAACGGTTTTAAACAGCTGACACTAGAACCACTAGAACTTGTTGTTGTCAAGTCTCACACCAACAAGGCTGATTTCATTAATTGCCTTATCATCAAAGACGATTACCATTTTTTTGTCTCTAAACCTTTAAAAAAGACTGGGAGAAGTGATACAGGTTTGCTGTTGTTCATTTTATTTTAGCGCCTTTTTATTAAGTACACAACTTTCGCTATCTACAGTTTTTTTAGGGAAGGAGGCTGTCTTTAGACAAATAATGAAGTTATCCGCCGGGTATTGCAAAAAAAAAAAAAAAAAAGACCAATACACATAGAATAGGCCGTATTTTGTATCATCAGCGTCGCAGCTATTGCTAACGTTTACGCAGCGAAATATTGTTCTTACTTCTTGGGTGAATGAATCTAAACAAATAGTGTCTTCAACATTTATCTCTATATAACCGCAAACGTCAGTTGTGCTTGTATTTGTTACTGAGTTTACAAAAACGTTATTGTAAACATTGGCAAGGAAGCTATCCGACAATGGGACGTCATTATGGTTAGAGATGCAATGCTTTTTTGCGTGTCATTCCGGTGCAATAGAGACTCCAACCTTCTCCATATCAGGTCAAAACGATTAAATCTATTGCTGACAGAACTGTTGTAATAGAAATCTCTGATATTTTTAAGTACTTTGCTCACGTTATTTTTTTTTCATATACTTTAAGTTTCTGTGGGCCTTTTGTTTTAACATGTTTATGTACCTTGCTCTTTATCTGTATTTTTTATTTAGTTCTGCCGTCGGGCACGGTTTTTGAGCTCTTCTAAAGCGCCTCACTGATTAAAAAGGGATTTTTTTTCTTTTTTGTATATATAAGTCGTTTCGAAAGTATCTAAACTTACCTCAGAAGCCTCATTTGCGTAGGTTTTATCGAGGACATGAAATTAGCATTCACTGATCAAGTTTTCTTTAAAGTTACTCGGACGGTCAATAGTAATACTTGGAACCGAAGTGCATTTCTTACGGTCTTTATGTATACAGGAGTTTTATGCCTCCTTCTATTGTTCTCCTTAATAGACTGGCTCTGTCTTCTGCTGAAAAGTAAAACCGGAGAGTTTCTTAGACTGTATGTATCTATATTGCGCAATACTGGTAGCCCAAACGAAACATCGGAACTTTAAAAAATATATTATTTCAAAGGGGTATTTCCGGGAAAGTAAGCGGTATTCCCACAACAGGAGTATATTTTTTTTTTAGAGAGAAGTCTAAGAGATATCAGAATAACTGGTAATCCCTTGTTGGCATAACCAATGTCAAGCAGCGTAATGCTACGTATAATTCAGCACCCGAAGTCGTGCTGAAAAAATACAGCATTGTCTGAACATATTACTCCGTCAGTTTGCTTGCGCAAACAGGTAGGTCTGTATCTTCTATGGTTACAAGCATAGTGAGAACGGCAGGGCCTGACGTGCGAACGTTCCGCCTCCAGCACGTGCTTCATGGTTTCCGCTGTGCTCTGGCTGCCTGCACGCACAACCAAAGCACAGTGAAAGGTGCAGGTAAAGTGCGGAAGGTGCACGAGACGTCACAGCGTTGTCGAAAATGGGAAGCTCGCATTGGAGGCGGGACAACTGAAGCTCCTCTGTGACGTTCTGA